GGTTGTGAACATATTTCTTCAGGACTCCCATGAATCTCTCTAAGGGGAACATGTTGTGTAGGAACACAGGACCGAGAATGACAATCTCCTTGACTAGGTGAACTAGGAGGTGTGTCATGATATCAAAGAAGGAAGGAGGGAACACCAACTCAAAGCTGACGAGACATTGAACCACATCATTATGTAGTTTAGCTAGATCAGTTGGATCAATTACCTTCTGAGAAATTGCATTGAGGAATGCACATAACTTCACAGTGGCTAGACGTACATTTGGAGGTAGAATTCCTCTTAATGCAACTGGAAGTAATTGCGTCATGAGAATGTGACAGTCATGGGATTTTAAGTTACATAATTTCTTCTCTGGCACATTTATAATACCCTTTATATTCGAGGAGAATCCAGATGGTACCTTGATGTTGTTTAAGCATTCAAACATGATTTCCTTCTCCTCTTTGCTTAGAGTGTAGCTGGCAGGACGTAAGTAATGGCGTCCATCATCTGTCTTCTCTAGATGCAGGTTGTCTCTTTCTCTTAAACAACGCAGGTCCTGTCGTGCTTCAAATGTGTCCTTAGGCTTTCCATACACACCCATGAAGCCTAGCAGGTTCACACAAAGATTCTTCGTTAGGTGCATCACATCAATCGAGCTGCGGACCTCTAGGACTTGCCAATAGGGTAGCTCCCAAAATATGGACTTCTTCTTCCACATGGATGCGTGACCATTAGCGTCGTTCAGAACAGGTTGGCTACCATGTCCTTTTCCAAATATGACTTTTACATCATTGACCATATCGAGTACATCCTCACCAGTTCGGTTGCGAGGCTTGGTCGGGTGGTCTGCCTTCCCTTTAAAATGCTTGCCTTTCTTTCTTACGGGGTGATTTGCAGGAAGAAATCGACGATGGCCAAGGTACATGACCTTTCGATATTTTTTCAAGAATACACCTCTAATATCACCGAAGCAGTGTGTGCATGCATTATATCCCTTGTTTGACTGTCCTAAAAGATTACTTAGAGCAGGCCAATCATTGATTGTTACGAACAACAATGATCGTAGATCAAAGTGTTCCTGTTTGTACTCATCCCACACATGTACACCTTCTTTATTCCACAAAATGAGAAGTTCGTCAATAAGTGGTCTCAGGTACACATCGATGTCATTGCCAGGTTGTTTCAGGCCTTGGATGAGCACAACCATCATAATGAACTTCCGCTTCATGCATAACCAAGGAGGAAGGTTGTAGATACTTAGAGTAACAGGCCAAGTGCTATGACTACTGTTCTGCTCTCCAAAAGGATTGATACCATCTGTACTTAAAGCAAACCTTAAGTTTCTTGCGTCATTTGCAAACTCCGGGAATTCTCTGTCGATTGCTCTCCACTGGGACCCATCAGTAGGGTGTCTCAACATATTGTCTACCTTACAGTCTTCTTTGTGCCATCGCAACAATTTTGCATGTTCTTTGTTTCTGAACAGACGTTTCAAGCGTGGTATTATAGGAGCATACCACATAACCTTGGCAGGGATTTTCTTCCGCGGACGTTCGCCCTCAACATCACCAGGGTCATCTCGCCTGATCTTATATCGCGATGCATGGCATACCGGGCATGCATCCAATTTCTCGTACTCTTTGCCACGGTAGAGGATGCAATCATTAGGACATGCATGTATCTTCTCGATTTCTAGCCCCATAGGACAGACAACTTGTTTTGCTTCGTAGGTAGTGGCGGGCAATTCCTTGTCCTTCGGAAGCATCTTCTTTTGGATTTTTAGTAACTCTCCAAATCCCTTGTCAGATACACCATTCTTTGCCTTCCATTGCAGTAATTCTAGTGTGGTTCCCAACTTTTTCTGCCCTGCATCACAAGTTGGGTACAACAATTTCTTGTGATCTTCTAGCATCCGCTCGAACTTGATCTTCTCCTTTTCACTTTCACATTCTCTTTGTGTGTCACGAATGACCTGACAAAGATCATCAGCAAACTCATCTTCTGTGGCTACCTCTTCTTCAGCTTCTCCCATTGCAGTATCATTGAAGCATGCACCATCAGGAATAATATCATTGTCGTCCCATTGTTCTTCTTCACCTTCTTCCCTACAACACCGGTTTCTCCGTGCTTCATCCAACAAATATAGTTTGGCATGAAACCTGACTTGAACAAGTGTGAATGAAGAGTCTTGAGCAAGGATATTCCACCGTATTCTTACATATGGCACATGGACAGCACATGAAATCATCACGTTTGTTTGCCTCGGCCGCACGTAACAAAGAATGCACGCCGTCCATGAACTCTTGGGAGCGACGATCAGCATTGTACATCCAATGCCGACTCATCTACATTACATGACATAAATATCGTATTAAAACCTAGAACATAATTAGTTAATTATACAACATGCATACCACCACAAAAGTTATAAATTTAAGAAATCCTCGCTACAATGTAGACAATCCCAACTACCACTAAAAATACTAAAGCTAAAATGCACTTCAGCAGCACAAGGATTTCGCGACCAATCCCAACTAAAACAGACAGATCCCCCGTTTGTTCAATATCTTTGGGCTTTTTCGGCTGGATCACTGCCTCATTAGCCGCCATATCTGCCTGTTGTGCAAGATATTTTTGCACGAGTTCAACATACTCTTCCTCCCAGTAGAAGCCTGAACATCCAGTGCCATCCTACTGAAATTAAAATAGAAAATTAGAACTTTAATCACAACCATCATGAAAATAGGTATAAACTAACCATAGTCATTAAATACGATAAAATAATTCACATTGCGATCCAGACACTTGTAGAAAATGCGGCCCTTGTTGGGACCCTCCTTCTTCACTCGGTACTCCATCACAATCTTCGTCTCATCACAACACTTGCCGCATGCAATGAGTGGGAGGCCCGGCCTAAGTCGCTTTGGAAACCCATGAGAGGCCGAGGACCCGGAAGCAGTTGCCATCTACTCTTTATACTCATTTTTTAAACAAATAAAATTAAAAAAACTCTAAAATTCTCTATATCTCTAAACAATGAAGTGTGCTATGCATGCTACAAATGAACGGTAAATACTAGTTTTTAATAGCTACTTTAACATTCCTTCATATAAATATGCAAGCTTGAAGTTTAAAGGTTTCCAGAGCGTTTAACACTACTCTGCTTGTCGAGAAAGTTGCTAGTGTTGTGTCGTTGGCATTTTTCATGGCCGTGGCCATGGTCATTGTGTTCTCGTCTTTTACTGCGACAGGTAAGTAATTCACATGATATTTCCGCAAATTAACAGAAGAATGGGAGTGTACGCACATAACAATCGATTATCGTTTATATTTATATATATATACTACGTTTGGGTACGGTGATTGACAGACTACTGCGACGATATCGGGACGTGTGAATAAATAATCATCCGTACTAGTTGACCTTGCTTACGTGATCATCTCGGCGAGCATTTCTCCATCGGACGACACCGTACTTGGCCACGGAAGAGCTCCGATTCTACGAGGAAGGGAACACGGTCTTCCACGACCGTTGCCGCTCTCCCTCGTAGAATCAAAGCTCCTCCTTGACGTCCGTTACCGCTTGGCAGAAAACATGCTCGCCGAAATGAACACGGTCCGCAAGTTCAACTAGCTACTTTAACCTTCTTTCATGTAAATATGCAAGGTTGAAGTGATTTTGAGCTCAAATTGCTTACAAATGAAAAAAACCACAATAAAGAACCATATATATAGTGAACAAAATGAGATAAGACAATGATGAAAAATGAGAGTATGAGATTGGTAACCTTTACAACTGAAGAATCGAAGAAATCGATGGAGGAATCGAAGAATGGATGGAGGAACAATGGAGGGAGGAAGCAAGAACACTAGTGCAGTGAGCTTCAAAATATGCTGAGCTCGGACTTGAGGAGGAAGAAGGGGACGGCCGGGATATAAAGGGGGACCTTTAGTCCCGATTTGTGGCTCCAACAAGGCTAAAGGTCCCTGCCACATCTGTCTGGCGCAGTAGCCGTTGGACAGGGACTTTTAGTCCCAGGTTGGATGCACCAACCGAGACTAAAGGTCTCTCTAGTCCCGGACGTAAAAAATACTAGAACTAGAGGCCACTTTAATCGAGAATCAAAGATGTGTTCTCTACTAGAGCAAAGCTGGCGATGGCCATGCTGTGGGCAAGGACTTCTGATTGGGGTTAGGGGAGGAAGGCAGCGTGGCTGCAAGAGAGAAAAATGGCAAAGTAAAAAAGTTTTTAGAGGTAATGCTCCTAAAAATAACACGGAGATTGTTCCAGAATTTCATAGGAAAGAACGCGAGCAGTCAAGATTGAAGGACATAATTAATTAGAACAATAAACAATGGAGGCGCAGGAGCAAGAGTACCCAAATCGTCAATGGAGTATGGGCCAATACCTTGCTACGTGTTGCCACAACTAATTACTAAGATTGAGCACAAGTCAAGGTAGCACCATTTGGTTTCGTACTGTTAATTAGTCCAAGTGAGGGAAATCTACTAAGGCTACCGTTTTGATCTTAACCACATGAGCTGCCAAATTAAAGGTTTGGCAAATTTATATGGCAACGGTCAATATACGATGTGATGAGATAAATAATTGTCCCAGTACTCATATAGTCGTCAATTAGTCATACATGCACATGTGTCACTGATAGTTGTGTCTCTTTTTATGTGTGTAAGCGAACTGATGGAAGAGAGAGAGGGGGGACGAAAGCACGAGACAACGGACCGATTGAGTGACGATGATCCGTATTTACCACATCCCAAGGTCCTCATGTGTCATGTCATGTTGATGAAACCAAAGACGAGGTGGAGTACAATCGCTTGTGTCCACGCTCTCCAAGTCCAAGACCAGGCCAAAGCGCTCGCAAACAAAGACGTGGAGGTTTCCGTATCGCTTATCCAGCACACTGACAATACCAGTCCTCGGACCTCGGGTGCTGGGGGTCGTCGTCTCCGTGTGTGCTGTGCGGCGCTTGCTGGCGACACGGAGCACCATGGCAGCGGGGCTCGGTTTCTTGAAGGCCGTGCCGCTGGCACTGGCGCCTGTCGTGCTCGCCGTCGTGCTGTACAGTCCCAGGGACTTCTCGCCGGCGCCGATGCCGCCGGAGTACTCGTACGGCCCCGACGTGTCCGCGCCGCGGCACGAGCGCCGCGCGCTGCAGCACAGCGAGCGCGTGGGCGAGGGGCGCCTCCCGGGCCCGGAGGACCTGGCGTACGACGGCGCCGGAGGGTGGCTGTACACGGGGTGCGCCGACGGGTGGGTCCGGAGGGTGAGCGTGCCTGGCGGGGACGTCGAGGACTGGGTCCGGACCGGCGGCCGCCCGCTTGGTGTCGTGCTCGCCTCCGACGGCGGTCTCATCGTCGCCGACGCCAACATCGTGAGTTACCTGACTCTTCACTATTCATCGGGACTGTGCTCGTGTTTAATACAGTACTAGTATAGTGCTGCTGCCTGGATGGCTGGATTCATCCGTGAACTGAGGTCCTCCCTCGGTAAAAAAAAAGTCATTCTTCCCATAGCGACTCTTTTGCTGGGGAGTAGCAACGAGTAAGATAAGAACGGTTCTTGACAGGGGTTGCTGAAGGTGAGCCCGGACAGGAAGGTAGAGCTGCTGACGGATTCGGCGGAGGGCCTCAAGTTCGCGCTGACCGACGGCGTGGACGTCGCCGCCGACGGCACCATCTACTTCACGGACGCGTCGTACAAGTACAACCTCGACAATCACATGGCGGACGTCCTCGAGGCGCGGCCTCACGGGAGGCTGATGAGCTTCGACCCGTCCACGCGGCGGACGGCCGTGCTCGCGCGCGACCTCTACTTCGCCAACGGCGTCTCGGTGTCGCCGGACCAGAGCTCCCTCATCTACTGCGAGACCGTGATGTGAGTGCTGCTCGACTGCTCACTATTGTCTTCACTTCCCTCACCTACCAGCAAATCCGTGAGATCTGCGTCTGTCGCTGTCTCGACGATTCTCACGGCATGACCTGTGCACCTGACCTCTTCCACTTCCGTATGGGTGTGGTGATGCAGGAAGAGGTGCTCGAGGTACCACATCGCCGGCGAGAAGAAAGGCACCATCCAGAAGTTCATCGACAACCTGCCGGGATTTCCCGACAACATCCGTTACGACGGGGAAGGCCGCTACTGGATTGCCCTGTCCGCAGTAACATCACAACACAATCTCTTCTCTTCTCATCTCATCGTCGGAAATTTTGCTTTTGCATCTCTGTTCCAAAATTTGCCAGGCAGAGGCAGTTGACTCCATCGTGTATGTGAACCTGCAGGGGAGGACTCTTCAGTGGGACTTGTTGATGAAGTACCCCTTCATCCGGAAGCTGGTGTACCTCGCGGAGAAGTTCGCGGTGGTTCCCCGTGCGCTGAAGAACTCCGGGGCCATGAGCGTGGCTCTGGACGGGAAGCCGGTGACCATGTACAGTGACCAGGGCCTCGCCCTCGCCACCGGCTGGCTCAAGGTCGGCGAGCATCTGTACTACGGGTCACTGACGGAGTCGTACCTCAGCAAGATCGACCTCACTAAATCTTCAGTCGAATCACTCGAGTGATCCGCGGATCCTTCATGCGCAAATAATCGTGTTTGGTTGACTTTCTTCTGACAACGGTTAGATAGAAATCTAAGTACCGTTGTATGATTGGATTGGATACATCTCTCTTTCTTTCTGTTATTATAATACGTACGCTTGCCACGCTTGCACTGGTCCGACTGTCACTCACTTGAATACGATTGGATAGCTTTTTTAATACTCTCTCCGTCTCAAAATAAGTTGTGTTTAAGGCTCGTTCTAAGTCAAATTATTTCAAATTTGATCTATTTATATAAAAAGTACTAATGTTTATAAGACCAAATAAGTATTATCGGATTTATCATTAAATACATTTTCATATTCTGCCTATACGGTGTCATATTGATGTTCTTTCCTATAAATTTGGTCAAAACTTTTTTGTCAAACTTAAAATAATTTGACTTACGACAAACCTTATCGTCACTTATTTGGGGAAGGAAGGAGTAACGAAAGAAATATCCAATTTCATCCTTAAGATGAGGAATCAGACTAATAACTTCTTAAAAAGGTATCACACCACAAGATCGTATCAATTTTACAAAACAAACTGACTCAAAACTTGATTTTATTTTAAAAATAAAACGGTCATGCAATGGACGTGAAAGATATGATGTGATTGGTTCCATGTTTCTCGCCTGACCTAGCGTCCTAGCCAATGGGGTGTCGAATTTTTTTTATTTTTTAACACTTTTTTTGAATTTTTTCACAAATATATCCCTTATAGGAAAGATTTTAAAATCTAGACCCTTAACTCGGTGTCATCGTTGTTGGCGTCGAAGCTTATACGTTGCTGATGGTGAGCTCTTGGGCTCGACGAGCTTGGCGCCGTGGTCACCGGCGCCGAGCCTCTTACGTCGGTGCAACTGTACGAGTACCACGCTGCACTCACTGCTGTCTCCGATGGACTGTTCACAGCGGGCATCGGTCTAAGTAGCTGTCCCGTCGCGTCGGTCGGACAGCTCTGCGTTCCCGGCTTCCCTGGAAAAGCAAAGCTCACGGGCTACGGGCTACGGGCAAAAATTTTTGGCGAAATGCCACTATAGCACTTTCGTTGTTATTTGACAATTAATGTCTAATCATAGTCTAATTAGACTTTAAAAGATTCGTCTCATGAATTTCGTCTAAACTGTGTAATTAGTTTTATTTTTTATTTATATTTAATACTTCATGTATGCGTCAAAGATTCGATGTAACAGGAATTCTTAAAAAATTTGGCATTTTGAAGTGGAAGTAAACAGGGCCCAACTTGCCATGCCATTTCGGCCCCCTCCTCGGGTCGTGAACGAATATATACTGTACTAATAAAGCGGTTTTACAGCTCAATGCTCTTCGATTAATAAGCGCGTTAAGTAAGAGCATCTCCAATCATTATGCATTTGGGCTTGGCATTTACCAAAATGCATAAAACTCCAAAAAAAACCCCTCCAATCGTTATGCATTTGGACTTTGCATTTTACATAGGTATGCATTTGGAGGGGGAAACTTGGCATATATGCCAAAGTAGTCCGGCTATGCAAATAGACATCCCGGGCTTCTCGGTTCCTCCTCGCGGGCTTTTTTCTTTCCCTTCGCACGGCTCCCTTCGCGCCGCCACCAGATATCGCGATTTCAACAGCAGCTCGCGACGCCAAGGATCGCGTACTCCTTCGCCAGGTTCACGCGCTCGATACGATCGCGTCCTCCTTCGCCAGGTTCTTCGATAGGACGAAGCAGCCGGTCAGGTACGCCTACTTCATCTCAACGCAATATGTAGGGTTTTTCTGTTGGCGGCTTGGGGGTTGGGATCTGTTGTTGGCGGCTTGGGGATTGGATCATGAGATTGGGTATTGCAGTTGTTGGGTACTGCTCTTGGCGGCTTGGGGGTTGGATCATGGCAGCCATGTTCCTAGGGCAACTGATCAATATACGATGATTTGGCGTTCAGAAACAAAAAAAGGCACAGAACTGCACAACATAGGCATAGCTCGGGCTCTTGTTCGTTCAATCTGTGTTCGTAAACTCATGTAGTTTCACTATTAGCCAACTGAACTTTGATTGATTCCAGTAGCTTAGCCAATTACACTGTGTTGTTGTTTGCGACATTTTGCTTGATGCCACTTTGATCTAGAACTTGCAAAATTGAATAGATCATGATGAAGTATACACATTATTTTTTCAAAAAAGATTTATGTAGTATATTCATTGTCTGATATGTCTTGACGACTCCATTTATTTTATCCTATTTTGTAGATTCGTTCAAATGGATGACCTTGAACTCTATACAGGCATACTCGCAGCTGATTCTGAACATATTCCTGGCTTAAACGAATTGCCCTTTACACTAAGTCCACAAAGCCAGGCAAATAGTAATGCTATGCCTCATGAATCTCAAGAAGATGTTTCCCTAGTGGATCCAACCGAAGTAGGTGCTACCCGTAGTGCTCGGAAAAATCTGTCACATAGGTCTAAAAAATTTGATCAAGAGGAAGACAAAATAATATGCGTAGCTTGGTGTAAGGTAAGCAAGGATCCTATTCATGGGGCAAATCAAAGGCAAGCAACATTCTGGGGTCGAGTTCGTGCATACTTTGATGAACATAAAAAAACTGAAGCTGCTAGGACAGAAAATTCAATTATGCATAGGTGGGGGACTATTCAGAAGGAAGTGAACAAGTTCTGTTTCAAACCTATGACAAGATTCTTCAGTAGGAATGCTAGTGGAAAGACTATCCAAGACATGGTACGCTTTCGAGTTGGTTATTTTGTACTTGTTAAATATTTGGTTAAGTTTACACATTCAAACATTTTTTCTTATTTTCAATTGTGTGATTAATGATGCTTTGGAGACCTACACGGCATGACGATGAGCATAAGTCGTTTGCTTTTATGCATTCTTTGGTACAAGCTCAAGGATGAAGACAAGTGGAAGTCATGGAGGCTTGAACAAGGTACGAAGCGAAACAAGCCCCTAAGAGAAAACAGAAGAGTTCCAAGGACTCCACGCCGAGCACAGGGGACGAAAAGAACAATGCTGAAGGACTAGAGGTTCCAGACGCAGGTTCCGCAGAACGTAAGAGGCCACCGGGTCAGAAGGAGGCAAAAAAAGCTAAGTGGGGAGGCAACGACGCTAGTATTGTAGCGTTGAACAAGATGATGGAGAAGGAGGCACGGGACAAGGAAAGAGAAAAGGCGAGAGAGGCTACAGCACAGGTAGACAAGGATTCAATTGAGGCGGAGAAGAAACTTGCTGAAGCAACCCTAATGAAGGAGGAGAAAGACATAATGCTTGCGGACACGAGCTCCCTCGACGACCAACAGTTGCAGTGGATTCAGATTATGAGGAAGAAGATCCTTGCGCGACACGCGGAAAATTAGATTTAGCGTAGTGCCTCTTTGTCGAGATGATTGTGCAGTTATAAATTATTTGGTACTGCTGCTCATCATTGATGATGTGAGATTTGGCGCAAACTAGTACACTCCATAGCAAGAATTCATACTAATTATTTGGTACTGCTGCTCATCATTGATGATGTGAGATTTGGCGCAAACTAGTACACTCCATAGCAAGAATTCATACTAATTATTTGGTACTGCTGCTCATCATTGATGATGTGAGATTTGGCGCAAACTAGTACACTCTACAGCAAGAATTCATACTAATAATTCATCATGAAATATGTTCGTTACACTTCACTGAAAACACTAATAAAAATGTTTATTACACATGAATTAAAACACTATGGCAAATAATATTATGGTGATTACAAATCATGATGCCGGTTCCATGGGGTATAAATCAGGATGACGATTCCAAAGGTGCTCGATGAGGTCTTCTTTCAACTGAAAATGTGTTGGCTTGTCTCTAATCTTTTTACTGGCTTCAATAAATTCAGTCAGTGTGCGAGTGGGCGTCCCATGGGAAGGTTGCACATTATCATTTGGGGCATCCGGGAACCGCTCATCAGGGTCCAGAACTCTTTCATCTTCAACAATCATATTGTGCATGATAACACAAGCCCTCACGATCAAAGCTAGTGTCTCTCTGTCCCAAATGCGACCTGGATGTGCTATAATGGCAAACCTAGACTGAAATACACCAAAAAATCTTTCGACATCCTTCCTCACAGCTTCTTGTGCTCTTGCAAAATATTTGGCCTTGTTCCCCATAGGATTGGAGATGGTCTTCACTAAAGTCGCCCAGTGGGGGTAAATACCATCATGAGGAAATACCCCATCTTGTACTCATGGCCATTAATGGTATAGTTCACCTCCCGAGCTTTTCCTTCATCGAGGTTGTCAAGCGGTGGAGACCGGTGAAGAACGTTGATATCATTATGAGAACCGGGCATCCCATAAAATGCATGCCAACACCAAAGGTCATGAGATGCAATGACTTCTAAAATGATAGTTGGCCACATTCGCATGACCCTTGTATCGCCCTGTGATTGCATTGGACAATTCTTCCATTCCCAATGCATACAATCGATCGACCCTAACATGCACAGGAAACCTCTTTTCTCATTGATCGCCAAAGAAGCGTGCTTACGTCGACCTCAAGTGGGGTGTCTCAAGTATTCAGCTTCAAATATTTCAACAATTGTAGCAACAAACTTTACGCAGCTCTCAAGGGCGATTGCTCTCACCAATACGGATATACTCATCAGAGAATCATGAGAGACTCCATATGTGAGCATACGAAGAGCGGCGAGTCACTTTACTGGAAGCAACTCAGACCGAGAGCACACCAGGCATCTCTTTTACGCACAAAGTAATTATCATGTGCTTCAACCGCATCCATGATGCGACGGAAAAGTGTCTTGCTCATTCTCGAATCTGAAGAATACAAAACAAAAAGGTCAGCACATTGACATAACAAAAGAAATACTATGAATTAGTGTAATGTCCAAAACATCAACCTCCGACGGAATAAATCATGACCGTACGTCGGATTGGCGCCAAGTAATCTTGATACATCCTCCGGTGGCCTCCTTCTCTATCACGAA